ATGTTGGCAATATATCATGGTGTCCCCATGTCTCTCTTCCATTCTGCCTGCTTTCCAGGGGGACCCACAACTAGGCCTGGGAGCCTCCTTGACTCGGGGTGTCCCGGACAGGATGCTCTGGTACCTCCTTTGTATCTGCTCTGCTGGGTCCCTGGGCAGTGCAGAGACTGCATCGTTGTCACAGGATGAGGAGAGAGCATCTTTTACCTCTCAGGAATCCCTGCCTCTCACCTTGCATGGACAGACATCCCACACAACCACCAGGTCCCCAGCTTGTATTTCAGAAGACAGGCCCCTGTCTGTCCTAATCCAGTTAAACATGCGGTCTGCTGGCTGGGACGCCAGGCAAAAGAGAAGGAAGGACGAGGGAGATACCGGGCAAGGACGGAAAGGCTGGAGCCTCTGCTCCTGGGGACCTTGGCACTTGGTGGGGAATCTTTCCTGAGTGTGTCTGTGTGTGCACGTGCACAGACGTTTTGTTTTGCTGTCTGATGACAAAGCAGCACTGAGGTGACAGTCAGGAGGGGAGCAAAGACGTACATCTTGATAAGCCGTCTGCCACCCTGGCCTTCCTGAGGCTCTTTGTTAGGTTGTCTGTGAGCTGAGCTGAGCTGAGATCTTGGAGAAAAGCTGCTTTGGCGGAAGCCACGAGGTCCTTGTGGAGAGGCCAAGGTCCTTGTGGAGAGGCCGGCTGGAGAGGGGAGACAGCCCAGGGGTGGGAGGGCTCTAGGCCAGGCTGGAACAAGAGGAAGGGGTCTGAGATGTGACCTCCTCTATCAGGTTATACCAGGTCCTTTGGGGACAAGGTCAGCATCTAAAACAGACATGAGGGAAGATCTCTTAATATCCCACTAGGGGAGGCCACCTGGAAAGGCCAAGTGCCCAGCAGCTGGATTTCTTGTCACTGAGAGCCAGAGCTTGTCTGCATCAGTACATCATAAGGCATTGTCCCCTGCATGCCAGAGGGTGACAGGAAAGGATGGAGGTGGGTGGTCTTCCTCTGGGTGGACGCTCCAGGGAGGCCTCTGACAACAGCCGCCAAGCAGAACTGGAGGCCTTGGAGAGAAGGCTGGGCTCTCTCAGTGTCTGGGCAGAAAAGCACAACTTGGGTTGTGAAGCAGGAGTTAAACAGAAGGATTTGAAATGATCAGAGCCCTTAGGCATAGCAGGGCACGGCTGACTCAGACTCACAGTAGAGTTACCTTCATGCTCCTCACTCCCCTCCCACCTCAGCAGTAAGTCTTGTTCCCAGCACTTTCAGCCCTCACCAGGGGAAGGTCCCCCTCCTATCTCACTTGAACCCCCTACTTCTTGCATCTTGCCTCCTAGGTCTCCAGGGGAGAGTCTATAACCTCTGCATCCAGCATCAGTAAGAGGCCAGGGCTTAAGGGGAGGAAGGGCTTCAGCAAGGTCCTGAAGCTTGGAGGTAAGGACAGTGAGGCCCTATGGAATTCTGCTTTCCAGTCAGGCTGCCAACTCAAGTTTAGTTTATTTATTTGTGCTCAAGAAACAGCTATTGAGCTGTGTGGTAGGTACTACTCTAGGCACTGGGGAATCAGAACTCAATACCCTCATCTGCTAATGGGGTAAGGACAGACAATAAATAAGAAATCAAATAAACAAACCACATCACTTAAAAAAAAAAAAAGCAATAAGATAGAGCATGAAAATGCTGGGGTGGACTGCTTTACCTTGGGAGGTCAGGGAAGGGCTCTCTAGATCTGTTGTTGAGACCATTGCTCCTGGGAGGAACATTCCAAGAGGAGAAAACAGCTGTGCAAATACCCTGGGGTAGGAATGAATGTAACATGTTTGAGAGAGAATGTGTTTCAGCTTGAAACCAGAGACCCCAGCAGGGCCAGCTCCCTTGGCCAGCTTACAAAGGTGTTTAGATTTTGTTCAAGGACAATGGGAAGACATTGGCAGGTTTTAGGAAGGGAGCAGCACTCTTTGATCTTCAGAAAGATCATGCTCACGGCTCTGTGGAAGATGCATCATAGAGGGGCAGGGTGGGAGGCAAAGAGGTCGCTTGGGGCCTGTTGCATTAACCCAAGCAAGACAGACATGGGCTTGGCTGAGGGTGGCAGCAGTGTGGGTGGAGAGTAGTGGACAGATTTATAAAGTTTTGCAACTGAGGTCTGTGGAACTTGGATGGAAGGAAGGAACTGCTAGCGTTCAGAAAGAACATGTGCCCTGCAATGGGGAAGTTTCAAGGAGGGTTAGGTTTAGAGAGGAAAGGTCCTAGTTTGGCTTTGAACAGGTTGAGTTTGAAGTGCCTGTGAGGGACCCCAGTGGAGATTGCGTGTGAGTAGGCAGCTGGGATGTCTACATTCTGCAAAGAACACAGAGCTTGCCTTGGAGGAGCTTATAGTCCAGCTAGAGGGAAACTGGGGGGCAGGAGTGAAACTACTCTGTGCCCTGCTCCCCACATTCTGCCCAAGGACCCTCAAAACCTGAGTTTCATTAGAGAGGGATTAAGCCCCTACCCTCTTTAGGCTCCCTACATTGGAATCATAGAATTTCTCCCACCTTAGAAATGTCATGATTCTCTGAGACCTGACACTGAGTCATCAAGGAGCAAGGCAGTCTCACTCTAGAAATAATCTCAGCCCTCTTTGACCACAAAGCCCAAGGACAGGATTAAAATTTTCTTAAATCCCAAAGACTGATCATTCTAAGCATTAGTGTGGTTCCTCTCTAACAATTTTCAGGTTCATCCTCTTTCATCCGGCCTTTTCCTACAGGTAAAAGAAATCTCTCTAAAATGAATATCAAGGAGGTTTTACAAGGAAAAAGGAAAAGGGCCCACTTGCAGCCTTAAAGAGGCGGGTGGGCCAGAGGAGGGACACGCCGCTCCTCTGACCTGTGCTGTGTCAATAGCTCTCACATTTGCCATGACTGACCTGTACTGTGTCAATGGCTCTCACATTTGCCATGAACCAACAAGTGGGCTTACCTGTCCCTTCCCACCCAGAAAGCCACCTCCCTGGGCCTTGAAGCAACAAAGAAGCCCTCAAAGAGCACCTCTAGTCCCAGCTACTCAAGAAGCAGAGGCAGGAGGATCACTTGAGCCTAAGAGCCTAAGCCTATGATGATGCCACAGCACTCTACTCAAGGTGACAGAGTGAGACTCTGTCTCAAAAAAAAAAAAAGAAAGAAAAAGAAAAAGACCTGGTCCTCAGTTGCTCCAGCTACATTTCGAGTCTTGACAACCACATGTGGCTAGTGGTTACTGTTCAGGACAGCACAGATAGAGAATATCTCTACCACCGCAGGCAGTTCAGACAGTGAGGCTTTCAAACAGGGGTCCTCAGAACATGGTCCCTGCAAGGGCAGCATCAGAAATGCAGATACTCTGGCCCCACTCCAGACCCACAGAATGAGGACCTTTAAGGGCTGTGGTTCAACAAACCTCTCAGGTGATTCCAATGCCCACTGAAGTTTGAAAACCAAGGCTCTGGTCTGGAATACTAGTCTCACACATTGTCTTACACTCATTTGGCCTTTCTTAAGTATAACCATGACATCTTTTACACTGAGGAAACAGAATCCAAGGATCACAACCCTGGAGAATCCAGGGCTAGAACTCTGTCCCCTTCACTTTTCTCTACACTCATTCCTCCCACCCCCCAACCCCTGCCATCAAATTTCCCTAGAATCATTCCAGATTGGGAAGGGAAAAAAAGAACACAATTCTCTCTTTCTGTGTCATCCTGGAAGTCCAGTCCTCTTGAGAAAAGTCAGCCAGGTACTCAGGAAGTCAGAAATATTGTGATAGAAAATCTCTCTAGTGGTCATTGAGGTGGCTTTAGAACTTCTTGTGGACATGGCATGATGATTAGAACCCAGAGCCATTCCCATTTTACAGACAAGGAAACCAAGCCCAGATCGGGAGACCGGCTTGCCTGTGCCCTACCACTCCTTCCTGGCTACCAGAACTCGGATCCAAGTCCAGAGAGTAGGGAGGTTAAAGGGGTATGCCTTAGAGACAGACAGACACAGGTTGAGTTCTGGTTGTGTTATTTACTAGCTGGAGGACTTAGGCAGCCGTGTAACTCTGTGAGGCCTCCATTTCTGCAAGTGGAAAGTTCGAAGTATAACAGTGCTGGCCTGCCACAGGGATTAAATAAACCCATGACTGTACAGGGCCTGACACACCCTGAGCTACCAACACATTTTTATATTATTATACCAGACACTGGGAGGCTGGCCTCATTTTTACATTCTTTTTCTTTTCAACATACCCTGCCTTTTTTTTCTATTCATTGCTCCCAAGTTTTCCAGGAGCTCTTTGTCCCAGATTTCTCTTAGTGTATGAGCACCACTTGGGTTCTCCAAGCTTATTTGGGAATCAAAGAGGGTGGCCCCTGCAAGCACGGTCATCAAGAGTACTATTTGCGGCCCAGGAACGTCTGTCCCAGAACCTGCCTGCACACCTGGGTAAATCTGATCACAACTCTGAGTGAGGAAAGAGGCTCCTCACAAAGTGGGGAAGACTCCGAGCAGGAATTAGGTATGAGAGAGGTTGTTACAACAGGTTTAGACCTAAGAAGCCTCAGGAGTTGCCCAGCTCACACCCACCCTGCACCCCAGTCTCAGGTGGTTTCTCTTGGTCACACGATCCTGCAGGAGTGGCTCCATCTCTCTGGCTCAGCTTTCCCTGCTGTGGGGAAGGAGAGGATGGTCTGCCTAACCCGCCTGCCTCCAGTTCCCAGAGACCTTAGGATGGATTTGGTCCTCATTGTTCTCTGGGATCAGAGTAGTGTCTCTCTCGGGGCATTTTCTGGGGCAGGGGAAGATAGGAGCTACCAGCTCCCTTCCCTCCTCCTGCGCCCCTCCCGCTCCCCACCTCGCCCACCCACCCTCCCTCCGTTCCTGCTGAGGCACCTCTTCCATTTAACTGGAATCTATTTTTCTCTCTCTCTTTTTCTTCCCTCCCACCACCCCATTCCCCAAAACACAACTGGCCTTGCCCCACCCCCCGTCCTGCTGCCCGGTAGCGGTGGGTGTCCAGATGAAGCTAGACTCCCTCCAGCGCAAGTTCTGGGCAGCGACACAGCAGGTAGGTGTGATGCCAAGCCAGGCTAGGGCCGGGGCCTCACCAAGCTCCCCTAGGTGAGGGGTGGGTGCCCTCATGCTCCTCTGCACCCCCTGTCCCTACCCCACCACTGAGTGCCAGTCAGACCGACTGTGGCCACCATCTGGCCACCATCGGGCTCTCCCAGATCCTCCCCTTCTCTGCCTCAGGTTCCCACCCTACAGGAGGCCTTAATTCTAGTCCCCGGGCCCCTTCCAGCTCTGGCCCAGCAGCAATGGACAAACACGGTGTCTCCTCTGGGCCTGGCCTGCTCTTACCCCATCTCACCACCCCAAAGGCACCCCCCACCCCCCCACTGTGGAATGAGGAAACCTGTGCACACCTGTCCACCTGGCTACCAAGAGACTGTCCCTCGACTGAGGTCTCCACCTGGCCACAGACCTCCTATTCTGCCTGCTCTTTTCTCCTCTGCCCCTGGAAACCTCAGACACAGTTCTTCTGGGCTCCTGAGCTGTCCCCACCATTCTCCACAAGTCCTTCCGGCACTGAATCCTCCTTGTAGCACTCAGTCTGCTCTGCTCCGTCTCCTTGGTGCTGTGTCCAGCCCCTGGGCAAGTGTAGGGAGGGGCAGAGAGGCACCTGGGCCACCCACCAGGTCATCCACATGACAAAGAACAGGAGGCCCATGGAGCCATCCCACCGAGTTCTCCAATGCAGCTGATCCTCCTCACCAAGAAAGGAGGCCATGGGCTGCGGGCCAGGGAACCCCTGGAAGAGGCTGACCCTCTGCTGCACAGGGCCCAACCCCACTAATGCACAACCTCATGTGTGCTAACTCACCACATGTGTACCCCACACAAAGTGCTCTTACACAAGCACACACCCTCTACCTACAGATGGACCGTAACACCATACACATGTCCCGTCCACACGTGCACACTCCCACAGGCACAGCACAAGTGTACTGTAGCATGCAGGCCCCTCCCCACATGTCCACACACACCACAAGCACACCACACACACATTCATACACTCACCGTGATACAGCCACTGTGCACCCACGCGCACAGGCCTGCAACTTCTAACTTCTCCTCTTCCTTCCAGTGCAGTGCTGCGGACGGGCCGTGCCCAAAGAGCTGTCAGGACAGTGTAAGTTCTTCCCATGTGAAGAGGGTGGGAGAGGCAACTTGGTCCTACAACTGGGGTTCTCTCCATGGCCAGCTTCCCCCTTGCCCAGCGCCCTCCTTCCCTGTGGTGCCAGGCTCCAAAGAGGGCAAGGCTTGCCTTCAGGCCCTGTTGGGACAGGTGGGAGGAGTGAGGACGGGTGGTAGGACCCTGGCCATGACCCCCTTCTGGTTCCTCCCCAGGACATGGACTGCTTCGTCATAGACAACAATGGGTTCATTGTGATCTCCGAGAGGTCCCAAGAGGTAAGTTATTGAGGGAACAGAATTAGGGCCCAGCCATCTGTGCTTTAACATGTCCTCCAGGTGGGAGGCCGAGTGCAGACCCCTAGCAGCAGCTTCAGCTAAAGACCCTGGGTCAGAATCCTGGCTTAGATTCCACTCAAGTGAGAGATCTGAAGACGACGGCTTTCCTGAAACCGTCAGCAGGGCAAGATGGCAAAATGTGTGCACTTGTCAACTCAGAGAAAATACTACTTTATTTTATCTGTCACTAATCTGGCCTTCTCCGCACTCAGTAGGGAACATGTCTGCACCACACAGAAATGAGCAGCAGCTCAGAGACTACTGCGCAGGGCCTGCCAGGCCACACCACGCCCTGTGTCCTCTGGGGACGCTGCGCTCCCGACAGCAGAGCCTGAGCTCCTGCTGCCCACGGGCCCACTGTCAGGTCCCTCTCACCACCTCTCTTCCATGACAAGCCCAGAGGGCCAGCCATGCCCACTTTGAGCTCTTTTCTTGTCTTGCCCTCCCTCTGAGAAAATTCTAGCCCACCGATCTCAGCCCAAGCGTGCTAGAAGGAAAGCAGGGAAGAGAGGCAGTGCTTTCTCATCTAGTGGCCTGGCTCCTCACCCCAGTCTTCCCTCTGGCATCTGGCTATCTCCCGGGACCCAGCATGTGCTCAGAAAGGAAAAAGAGAAAGTCTAATAAAAACTGTATATTTTCTGAGCCCTAAATTGGACCCCAAAATTAGTCACCTAGCTAGGGATTAAACTAAAAAAGAAGCCAGTTCACACCTGAAATCAAATACATTCACCTGAATTATTTCACTGAAACAAACCAGAAGCATCAGAATGACCTGAATGGAAAAGACATAGGATTGGTTCAGTGTGAGCTGGACCTCTAATTAGACATATGATTTGGGCCAGCACCTCCCATTATCTGTGCCTCAGTCTCCTCCTCTTGACAATAAGTGCGCTGGACTACATGGAGTCCAAGTCAGCTCTCACCAAGACCTTAAGTGCTTGGTGTTGGCAGAGCCATGGGGACAAGGTGATGCAGAGGTCACAGTCAAGGCCATCTCATACCTAGAGAGGCAGTGGTCTGGCCTCTTTGGAATAGGCTTAAGGTCCAAAGAGGAAACCAGAGCCAGGGGGTTGGAAGGAGATTTGGGAAAGAGAGTGACTGAGGAATAAGGGACATCCATGGATCATGGAATTGAATCCCTTGAGCACAGGTTTTAAATGACCCACTTAACGGGCAGCACATCATTTTCTTCTTGGTAGGAGTGGGGCACAGGGCTGACGATCGATGCTTGGCAGGACTCTGCTACTCAGTAGTTCATCAGGTCACCAGGTGCCAGCTTCTGCTTTCCCTTTTCTCCCTTTCACGCCCTCTTTGGCCATTTTCCTCTTCCCTAGACAAAGCACTGGTCCATTTTAGTATTTCTCAATTGCTGTGGAAGAGACACAGTGATGATGGAAGTTGAAACCAGTGGTTGGCAGGAAGCTTTGAGACTATACCATGCCCTCATCATTCATTCTGGGTAACTGAGAATGGTTGCGTGTGCAGGCCCCTGTGGTGTTGGCTCTCAAGGGCTAAAGTATGAGCCCTGGGCTAAGGAGTTTCAGACAGAGCATGGAAGCCCAGACATTGGGCTGGAAGGGTGGCACAATGCAGGGAGAGGGCAGCCAAGTCTCAGAGATTGTGCTCTAGAGCAAGGTCAGCAAACCTTTCCCCTAAAGGGGCAGAAAGTTCACATTTCCCAATCCTTTATGAAATGAAGCAGGGTCCAAATGGACTGACTTACTCGAAGCTCTTGCCAGGGCCCCATGCACCTGCTGCATATGGCTTACCCTTGCCACCTCCACAGCAGGAACCCAGAAGTGGAGAAGCTCTAAGCCCAGGGTGAAGCTAAGACTGTGTCAAGGCTCCAGGAGCAGCTTTATGTTGGCAGGGTTCAGTTCCTCTCTCCTCACTCTGTACCACTCTGACCTTGGGACCAGAGCTGTGTCAAGAGTATGGGAAGGCACTGGGGGAATGATGACCAGGAGAGAGACCCCACCTGGCATGATGCCTGGCACATGGGAGATACTTGATAATAGTATGGAGAACTGAACTGGCCTAAAAGTGACACCTGGAGTAGCAGGCGCTGATTTAGAAGGTGAGTGCAGGAAGAGAGGTGGAAAGCCTGGTGCTGGCACTGCTACTTTGGCTGTCTGTCCATCTGTCCATGCCTCCATTTTTGCATGCATGAGGGTTTTTTTTTCTTAACTCATTCATTCAACAACTCTGTAGCAGTTACCTATCGCTACACAACAAATTACCCCAAAAGTTGTGGCTGAAAACCACAAGATTCACTATCTGAATGGTTTCAGTGGATAATGGATCCAGGTGTGGCTTAGCTGGGCACCTCCAGCTCAGGGTCTCATGCAAGGCTGCCATTGAGGTATGGACTGACACCACCTCAGTTCCTTGCCATGTAGGCTTCTCCATAGGGCAGCTCGTAGCACCACAGCTCCCTGCATCAGAGTGAGCAAGCCAAGGTGAAGTCATAGTCTTTTGAAGACTGAACTCAGAAAAGACACCCCATCATTTCTACTATAGTCTAGAACCAAGTTACTAGATCCAACCTACACTCAAGGGGAGTGGGGCTGACACAGGCCATGGCTCCTAGGAGGCTGGGACTATCGGGAACCATTTCAGAACCTGCCCACCACCAACTCCCACCCACTCGTCCAAACACACACAAGTGTCATCTGGGGCCACACACTGGACCTGGCCTCCTCCCCAATCATCCTTAGACCTCGAGTGTGCTGGAGGAAGGAGCATCAGGCTCTGGAAGCTTGTTAGAGATACAGATTCTCCCAAGTCCCCCCACCCCCGTGCCTGGGGATTCAGAAACTCTGGGGTGGGGCAAGGGGAGGGGCAGCCATCTGTGCTTTAACATGTCCTCCAGGTGATTCAGAACCACTGCCCAGGGCTCAGTGCCAGTCGCTGTCCATCTGCATACCCTGTAGCTGGCTGCTCTTGCTTTCCTGACTGGCAAATGTACCAGAAGCTTCTGGTAACCTCTTGTTCCTGCCAGGGTCCACCCGGGGGCCTGGAGAGAGAAGCCTGTTGAGCTCCAGATGCAAATATTCTTTCCAAAGTGCTTTCAAGCCTTTCCTAACCTGAGGCCCTCCTCCCCTAACAAAGGGGTGAGGCCAGAAGCCCCAGGAGACCCACCTGAAGCCTGCCCAAGGGTGCGGCAGTTTGGCTAATTCCTCCTGGTCCTGGAGGTTTTCCAGGCCTGCTGATGAGATATTTGGCCCCACTAGGCCTGTCTTCCAGCTCAGGGCTCATTCTTATAAAAAAAAAAGAACTACAAGTGACAGGATTACAGCCCTCAATAAGGGGCCTAGAAAAAGAAACAGACAGTTGCTGGCCAGGAGAGTGACAACTGCTCTGCGGAGCTTTGCTGTGTTACAGTAGATCTGTCACCCTGGATCTGGGCACTCCAATTCCTGTCATTTGCTTATGGGCAGGACCCACCCATGGGAGTTTTAAAATGGATCTCAAAAGGGCAGCAAAACCTAAAACAACAGAAGCTCTATCCTGGCATCTTTTTCTTAAGGGACTTGGATCGCTCAGAAACATGCCATGCTCTTCCCTACCCTCCTCAGCCCAGCAAGCAAGGGCTGGGCAGGCCCTCAGAGCAGGGGACACTTTCTACCACCAGAGACTATCAGATGTGCTTGTCTGGGTCTCAGCTCCTGTTTCTCTGGGCTCCTTGTCTCCCTTCCTCTTCTCCTGTCCTCACACCACTCCCCCCAGCTTGGCTCCTGACCGCCTCACTCCCTTGCAGCCTGTCTCAGCTCTGGCAGCAGTTCTCCCCCTGCCTTTCTGGCTTCTCAAGTGGCCCTGGCCCACTGGACTCTCCGGGAGTAAAATTCCACTGCTCAATCGGAACCCTGAGACCTCCTGTCTCAGTAGAGGCAGGCTCTCCAGAGGGCTTTCCCAAAAGTGCAGTGCTGGCCCTGACTCCTCCACACTCTCCCAGGCACCCTGTGTGGCCAAAAGCACTTGTCAAGAATCTCTGCAGCCAAGGGACCAGGCCAGGCTGTTGGAACTAGGAAGGGATGAAGGGAAATTGATCCCTACTGGGAGCCAGGAACAGTGACTTTAGCGTAGTGACTCATGGAATCCTCACATCCTTAAGAGGCTGAGTGTGCCCATCTTTAAAGAGATTGAAGCTGTCCCTACGTAAGGAGGCAGTGTGAGGTTTGCTCCAACTGCTACCAAAGTCAAGAGCACCCCTCGTTTCTGGAGACCAGGGAAGTCTGCAGCAGCAGTCTCCTGTAGCCATGCAAATTAGCCCTTGCCCAGACCCAGTGCACATGACCATGAGAATTAGCCCACACCCAGGGGCAACTGCCCAACCGCATGTTCTCAAGTACCTCTCCTGCAGTCTCCACCTCAGCAGGACCTACCTCTCTCCTAGCCTCCCAGTTCATCAGCCCCAGGTCTGGGGGTCCTGAATTCACAAGGTACTCTAAGTGGACGCCAGTGGCTTTGCCGGCTCAGCAACTTGATTTGAGGCAAGGATTCACTCTGACAAAGTCCCAACTATACTCCACCAGGTGGGAATTGTGTTCTGCTGCCAGGGAGAGAGTCTCTGCAATGGTGCCTTGAACAAAGTAAAGGTTTAATCTCTCATAAAGACTGGAGGAAGGCAGCGCAGGTCTGGCACGGCCCCACCCTCAACACCCCAACCCAGCGAGGTAGCCTTCCAGACCCCTCTCCCCGCGCCAGGTGGGAGGGCAGGTGGTAGGAGTCAGTCCCGGAGGTGGGAACAAGCTCCCGGAAGCCCCCCACTGGCGGCCCTGCTCGCATCCCATTGGCCAGCCCTCGATGCAAGGGCCTATGGGAAATGTAGTGTTTTTCTCTGCACAGGCTGCGGCCAGGAAGGTTGGGTTGCCTTCCCCAAGATGACGGGGAGAATGGATATTTTATGCCACAGTGACGTATCCTGGAAAATCAAGTAGCTTATTTACAAAGGAGAATACATTTTTCCAATGTCCAGCATACACTAGTCTTATTCTCAGGGATCTCCCTTCTTAGAATCAAGAGTCTGACCAACAGAGTTATTGATGAATAAGCCGCTAATAGAATTAGGAAAGAGAACGGGACATCTGCGTGGGGTTTGGGCAGCTTTGTCGGGAGCCTCATCCCCACCCCGCCGCACTTTCCTAGGGAAAATACTCAGGTCGTTCATTCCTTCCATCACACATTCCTTCAGCAAACATGCACGGAGGGAGAAGGGTGAACCAGAGGTGGTCTGTGCTGTGGGTGCAGGGGGATCAATTTCTGCCCCCCAGGATCTCAGTGGCTCGTGATGGAGGTGATGTGTGAACAGCACACACGAAGATACACGGTAATTGGAATAGCAAAAAGCGATCCCCAGCTGAGGAGGAGCTGGAGCAATCAGGCGCAGCTTTGTGTGGCTTTAGGGTGGCACCTTAAAGAACAGGCAGGATTTGGATGCCTCTCCCCTCTCCAGGTGCTTTTCTGTCTCTGGAATTCCCTCTCAGCGGTCCCCCTGCTCTGCCCCCTGCCCTCTTCAGTGCTGCCTGTCAGGCCTCCCATCAGAACAAATGGGCCCTCATTGGCTTTTACCAAGATTGGTGATGCCCGTTATCAGACTGTCCTGTGTTATGGCTCATGTGCATCTGTCCGTCAGTCCAAACTGATCTGAAGCTCTTGATTCATTCCATTCATTTTTACATCATACATAACCCTCTGACTAAGAGTCTTGTGAATAAAAGATGTTAGGAAACAGTTTTTGGTGATCTGGGAATTCCAGGCAAAGAGGTAGCAGAGCTCAGACAAGTCTGAATACTTCTTTGTGTCCAACTTTCACTCTCCTCCTGTTTACTTTCGTAATTAAATGGTCTCTTTTGGAGATTATAACTTTGCCATATGTTTTTAGGGGGCCTCATCCTTACATTTTAATTTTATAAATGAGCTGTTTCCAAATAGGAAGGAAATACTGTAGGATGCAGGCACTGTATTTTCTTATTTAATTACAGTCTGAAAAGTGACATTTCCTGAATTCATCCCAGATTCCAGAGTTGGGCCCATTTGGAGAGCTATGGCCCTTGTTTGCTGATTTATAAACTATGGGAGCATTACTGGGGTTATTACCCCCAATGTGGTACCATCATTTCATATTTGGGAGAGATTGTCTCTGTTGACCAGGTGTCTGGAGCCCTGTGTTCCAACTGACTTTTTGAGATTATAATTTTGACCTGTATTTTTAGGGGGCCTCATCCTTACCTATTAATTTTACAAATGAGCTATTTCCTTAGGAAGGGGTACTAGCATCTCCTTGGCTCCTAGACAATACCTGGTTCTCCTCGAAGTTGGCCAGGCTCCTGCGCCTCAGCTCCTGTGTCAGAGCTGCATTTCTTTCTCTTGGTAGTTATTACACATGTCATCATTTTAGGCCTGAGAATGCAGAAAGCTCTCTACAAAGAACCTGTTGTGGCCAGTTGGCTCCCACCTTCCTTCCCTGACAAAAGTCCACACTGATTATGTCCAGGTATCAAGGCACTTTGGAAATTCAGAGATGAGAAAGAGGTAGTTCCTGTCCTCAACAAGTTTTCAATACAATGGAGGGACAACTAATTATTAGGCAGAATGAAATGACTGAACAGGCACGCCTGCCACATGCTATCAGAGTACAGAGAAAGGAGGAATTCATTCTGATTGGAGGGTTAGAATTCACACACTCCTTGAGGAGGATGACAAGGAAAGCTCCTTGGCCTGAAGACTGAGAAAGGGCAATCAGGGCAGGAAGAACAGCCATCCCAAGTGCAGACCTCTTCTTGGAGTAATGGCTGCCATCTACTGAGCAACCACTGTGAGCCACACACTTGGCACACAATATCCCAATTAAGGCAATGTACATTCAGGTCACAATCAGACTCCAAAGATCAAGTTCTTTTCACTCTGCCTTGCTGAGAAAATGGCAGAATCAAGAGACCAGGAGCAGTATGGGGTCAAGTATAGGAGGTGAGGAGGGAGGACAGTCTGAGGCTAATCTCTACTAGCTTAGAAGCAAGCTAGGCCTAAGGTCACTGCTGGCTTGGAGGATGCTGCCTGGCCCTAGGGCATGGGAGCCTGGTAAATACTGCTTATTGGATAATGAAAGGAGGGACAAGGGTAGGAGGGAGGGTCCTATTTTGTTTTATTTTATTTTAAAGTAAAGAGAGTGACTAATCCAAGCTGCGCTGAGGAAGGTTACCGTGGCTGCAGTCACAGGAACTTGGGAGAAAGATCAGTTAGGAGAGTGAGGGGAGATGTGTGTGGCAAATCTATAGGGCACACCAATGATGGGATGAGAAGGGAGAGGGGTACTCAAATCCCATGCCAGTGCTCTCAAGCCTGTTTGGGTGAGGAGAACACCAGGTTGTATGAAGCAGGTGCTGCTTTTTGACCATGACCCATAGAAAGAAATGCATTTTACATCTGACCCAACACACACACACACACAAAGAGCACATACAACAATCAAGTTTCACAAAAACTTCTTTAATTTTGCTTCAAGCAATTCACACTGAATTGTCTAAGGAATTCTGTACCATTTTTTAAAAATCTGATTTCTAGCTCTAGGTTGATTTCATAGGCGATTAATATGTTACCACTGAGAGTTTAGAAAGCACTGAGATAGCAAACAGCCAGGAGCAGGTTGACCTGAGAGGCGTGGGTGGAAAGGGTTCAGTCGTTATCATGTTTGAGGGCATCTGTAAGGAAAGCCCAACTGGCACCTGAAATCTCAAGCTCAGAAATGAGTCCCACGATAAAGAGTGCTAGATTTAGAAGTCTTCATCCTGCTTGATGCCTTTCTTTCCTCTCTTCTCTCCCTCCCTTGCAGATGGGAAGATTTCTGGGGGAGGTGGATGGTGCTGTCATGACCCAGCTGCTCGGCATGGGGGTGTTCAGCCAGTAAGTGGGATATGCTCCTCCCCATTTAAACAGATGCAGCAGAGTCCAGAGCTGTTTCTAAGTGGTCCAGTCAAATCTCAGGATCCTGACCTCAAAAACGTACAGTGAGAGCCCCCAAAGACCTCTGAAAGTCACTATTCTGGAGCCAGAGATGTGAGATGGGGAGGGGCATAGGGCCATGGAGCGTCCCTGTGAGGGGCTCCTGGCTCAGCCCTTAGAGATCAAACTATTAGCGAAAACAGCAAGCCCTTTACGCTCCTTCTTGTTTACCATTCAAAGTGCAGAAATGGGCTCAGCGCCTATAGCACAATGGTTATGGCACCAGCCACATACACCGAGGGTGGAGGGTTGGAACCCAGCTGGGGCCAGCTAAACAACTGCAACAAAAAAATGACAGGCCTGGTGGCAGATGCCTGTAGTCCCAGCTACTTCAGAGGCTAAGGCAAGAGAATAGCTTAAGCCCAAGAATTTGAGGTTGCTGTGAGCGGTGATGCCATGCTACTCTACCAAGGGTGCATAGTGAGACTCTGTCTCAAAAAAAAAAGTGCAGAAATATAGTTTTCAGCAGGAGCTGTGATCTGCTGCCCCAGATCAGGTGCCCTCAGGGATCTTGGTGAATGGAAGCCCTGCTGGCAAAGTCCCTGGGGCAGAGCAGGGCATGGGCATGGTTGTAGACTCACTGGGCCCTGTTTCTGATTTTCAGAGTGACCATGTATGACTACCAGGCCATGTGTAAACCCCCCAGTCACCACCACAGCGCAGCCCAGCCCCTGGTCAGCGTGAGTGTCACCCGAACCTCCCCTGCCACCTGCCAGCAAGTTCTCTGCCCTGTCCTAAAATTAGGTCCCCAGGCCCTGCTCTTGCCCCACCTTGGCCATCTGACCCCAGGGCCCCTACCACTGCACTTAGCACTCAGCCTGCACCCACTTCAGCCCATGGGGCTGCCTATGGGCTTCAGGGGACTTTCTCTGGCAGCTGTGAACAAACAGCTATCCCCAAGCTCACTGCCTAGTGTTGCCACACAATCCAGGGGTCCTAGAAGCTTGACCATCAGGATGCAAGCTTGACTGGTCTTCCCAAAGGGCTGTCTAGACCCTCGGGAGAAGTCTGACCTACAATAGGCACTTCTCAGATGGCTCAGCTTTCTGACACCCCTCTGCAGGGGAAGGTGGGAGGTGGTGGCATGTTCCCTGGCCACCTCTTTGTGGGTGCAGCTGCCTATCTGTTGTCTCTGAGTGGTGCTGTGGGAGCACCTAGGCACATGGCCCTGAGTGTGAAGGTGTGTGCTCTCCTCCCCAGCCCATCTCTGCCTTCCTGAGAGCGACCAGGTGGCTGCTGCAGGAGCTCTTGCTGTGAGTGGGGGTGAGGTCGGGCTGGAGGTGGGCTAGGGGAGGGCTGTGTGCAGGTGGTTTGAGAGTGACCCTTGAGCAAGAGGCTGCTGCATCTCCACAACACCCCAGAGGAAGAGGGCAAGGCCCCTGGGCATGTAGGGCACCTCCTCCCTATCCCTCTGCTCACCCAAGGGCCCTGGAGCAGGGAGGAGAGTGTCCTGGAGGAGAGGGGCTGGGCAGGGTCCACCAGGGATCTCAGGGATAGAGGGATGTGGTTCAAAGTCAGCTCTGCATCTGACAGGTTGCTGCTGGAGTGGAGCGCCTGGGGTTCCTGGCATGACAGCGGGGCTGAGGGTGAGTAACCAGAGGTAAGGGTGTGTGGGGTAAGGGCAGTGGCACTTTGGACCATGCAAGGGAAACCTTTTGCCTTGGGGTTGAGGGCTGGGAGGGAGCATCATGAGGCTGTCTGTGGCTCCTATCTCATCCCTTGTGGCTTCTCTCATCACATCTGCTTCCCCCTACTCCCCACATCTCTGTGTGACATCCCATCACATCGGACACCACTGCTCTGTGTGGCATCATCACCACCCCATGGCATCCTGCCCTCATGTGACATCCCATCACATCGGACACCACTGCTCTGTGTGGCATCATCACCACCCCATGACATCCTGCCCTCGTGTGATGCCGTGCTCCTCCTGTACCATGTCTGCCCTGTGCTGGGCTCATGCCTGGGCAGCCAAAGCTGTCTTCCACCACTGTGAGTAGTGCCTGCCAAGGAGGTCACTGTGCATTGTGGGATGGGGACAAACTGCAGATGCAAAGGTCTGCTCGAGACTTCCCAGGCCAGGGTGACCCCAGAAAGGGCAAGCTCTCTTCAACCTATAACACCCAGCCCAGAACTGTCCCACACAGGACAGCCCTGACCCAGGGAAAATAAAGCATTACAACCTCTCCTTGGTTCCAAGGAGCAAAGAGTGGTGTGTTTCAGTGTCCAGGTCATATGCAAGGGCACAGTGCCAGGTCATCCATTGGAGAATAAACAGGGACACCCCCAGCCCAGGTGCTCACAGCTCTCAACAGGGCCCAGGTTCAATGGGGGTCACCAGCATGCTCTGACCTGTTGAGAACAGAGCCCCCTCCCTCCCAGGCAGGGGATGGTGAGATGGTCCGGACACAAGCAAAGCTTTGTCTCAGCCTCAAAGACGAGGTGGCCAAGCGTCAGACCCACTCTCCCTGCCTGGTGACTCAGAGCCCTGTAGTCACATAGAACTGCCTCAAATTAGCCAGTTCTGCTCAGCTCCTCCTGTTTCCATGGGTTTCCAGAACTTCCCCACACCTGGGCTGCCCCTACCCTGTTTCCTATCTTTTACTCAGAGTTTGGTTGCCTGATAAAAAAATAACATCCACTGCTGTCCTCACCCTGGCTCATTCTCTCCTGCCTCTCCCCACTGAGCTGGGAAAATGGGAGACCTCCTCTGCCCCTCAGCTCCCGTGGCCAGCTCCCGTGGCCAGCTCCCTGCCCTGTTTCTACCCTCCTCCTGCGGGCAGTCCACAGTTACAAGGTGTCTGTGCAGGACCAGAGGCATGTGCCACGCCCACTTGGAAGCAGCCCCTTCCCCTGCAGGGAACACAGGACTGACCCTATCCCGGGTTGGGTGTTGCCTCTTTGTGTCAGCAGCTGCCTCTGGAAAAAGCTGAGAATGATCCCTTCAATCTGCTTGCTCAGAATTCTTCTTCTTCAGGGCAGCTGGCCCCAGAGGTGGGCCAGCCTGATCTCAGCAGGTGCCAGTGTGTTCAGTGGCTCAGAGTGCAGTGCTGGGGTGTGGGCCCTGTCACCCCTTCCCAGTCACGCACCCTACATTGCTGGAGTTGTGTTGACATGCTCCCTGAGGTGTGCCTGCCCACAAAGGGTGGCTCAGGTGACCATGCAGGCCCAGTGCTAGCCAGCCCCTGCTGAGGATGAGGCAATGGAAGGGGCCTGGAAGGTGCAGAGTCAGGCCCTGAGGCCTGGCAGCAGTGGCCAAGCAACTGCCCACTGATCCCAGGAGACCCAGAGCAGGGAGCACCCGGCCACAGCCCTTGCAGACTATGCCTGGAGTCGAGCTGGGTGCCAGGAGGATTGTTTCTCTCAGTGAGGCTTTTCTCTACCTGCTAACCAAGCATGCCCTCTTGGTTTCAAGGCTAGGCAGTAGGAAGTATCTGGGTCTGGGAGTTAAGAAGACCTGTGGCTCTCCTATAGGACCCTGAGTCAACCTCCATCTTCAGGTCTATGAGGTGGGGTCCCACTGCCTGCCCTGCCTTTGTCATAGACAGGGTGTGAGGACAGAGCAGAGCGCGCAGCAGGGCTTAGACAAGATAGGAGTGGGGGACAGAATGGCCTCTGGCGTGGAGCTGGCTCACTCTGCCTTCTGCTCATCTCAGGGCCACCTTGGCAGGGGCAGATGTAGATCCCAGAGCAGGGCTTCTGGGGACTCAGCTCTGCCATCTGTGGAGTCCTTCTCATCCCTGTCCCCCCTTGCATCAGTGGACCAGAGCACCTCACACAATGCCCCTCAAGGAGCCCAGGCTCCAGCACCCCTGGGCCTTGGAACCCACTGGCCCTCCCAGCCCCAGTACCCAGGTGCTGGCTCAATGGTGGACCTTGGGCCTGGCCACAGGGGGTAGAGGGGCCAGGACTTGCCTAGGAGCCACATTTAGCCCACCCATACCAAAGGAGAAGGGTGGTGGGATTAAGAGGGATGATGTCTCCCAAGCCACCCCTTGGCACCTTACTGCTCTGCCCTCTACCCAGACCCTTGGAACAGCTCAAAGGGGCTCTAGGGAGGCTGTGGAGTGATGGCTGTGAACCACTGTCCACAGTCCCCTGTTGCCCCCTTGGGACATCAATGCCCGAAGGAGCCTGGGCACCAGTCCCCCTCACCCCCAGTTCACAGTAAGGATGCAAGCTTTTTCAAGAGAGGAAGGGGCTTACCAGGGTCACATGTCCCTAAGACCCAGGGCCCCTGCCACTCACTGCCATGACGCCACTCTCTTCCATTACTCTCTGTTCCTTCCCCTCCCTTTTTCCCAACACACCTGCTACCTCGTGTCCATTGAACTGTCCAACAAGGGGGGGGGGGCATCTGCAAAGGGCCCTGGAGCTGAACACCCACTCTAGGAGTGCTAAGGCTGATATTGTCCCAGGGCATGATGTTTAAGGCCCTTCTAGCTGTGATAGCCTCCCTCACACCCATGTCTGTCTGCCTGCAGCTCACAAACACAAGAAACAAGACCTCCTGCAGCCCTGTGACACCGAGTACCCCGTGTTCATACATGATCCAGCCATCCAGGAGACCAACGGGATCATCGAGTGTGGGGCCTGCCAGAAGTGAGTCCCCAGGGCAGCTCTGCCAGCCCAGCCAAAGGCCACATCCCTCCCTCCCCAGCAAGATGGCAGCTAAGGGGACCTTGCAGCCCCTATGTGGCTCCACAGGGAAGAAGGAAAAGTCACACTATCAGGGGTCTTTCCCCTCATTCCCTTACTGTTGGAAACACAGAAGGCATGAGGCAAGGACAGCGGGGGACCCTGTGCAGTGGCCTGCAGCCCTGACTCCACCTCCCTCCGGCCCCCTTCAGCTGTCCCACTCTGCTCAAGCAGAGGCAGCTGGTGTCAGGCCCCAGTTCCACGGGAACCTGGCAGAGAGAAGAGAAGCGGGTGGGCAGTCCCTCAGAATCTGAGCGTTTCCCTAGACGGTGCCCTGCCCCAGCCCTGCTACCAGACCCTGGCTGGGGTCCCTTCTCCTGTGGGCAGGACCCTGGGCAGGCTTTTCCTGTATGGAAGCTGCTAGACCAACCAGCTCTGCCTAGCCCTCCCCAGAGGCAGGGAGCAGTAACCGCCCTAACCCGGGCCTGTCCTGCTGACCTCTGCCCCAAACCTCAGTTAGACTCTCGCCCTGGCCCAGAGGAGCTGGCTCTCCAGGTTGCCCCCTCAGCCAGATGCGCCAAGGACCACAGACCTTGAGCAGGTTACTTATTTCATAGTGCAGCGCCGCGGACTTTGGCCTCAGGCTTCCATCTCTTGCCAGTGAGTGATGCTGGGCGATTCTAGCCTCACTGGGGCGGTTCGCCTGAGATCGCCGTTGCTCGTGCACTTATCTCAAAGGCTTGTGTGAGGATAAAGTAAACGGTGTGGCGTAAAGCAAGAGCTTAGACTTAGAGCAAACAGACTTTAAAAACGGGCTCTCCTTCCCAGCTGTGTAACCTGGGCCAGTTACTTAACCTCTTCCAGCCTCATTTCCTCACTTACATAATGGCACAACCGACCTTCTCCAGTATTGTGCAGGTTAAATACATACATATTTATGCATTTACATGCACATAAAATTTCCCACCCTTGAGCCGAGGCGCAGGAAGCGGCAGCGCTTCCTATTACGTAACAGCGGGCTTTCGTCCGCGTGTGCGGGAGCGTCGCGCCCCCTGCTGACCAGACCTCGGCACTGCAGCCCCACGGGCCTGCCCCACTGCACCGCGCGTCCCTATCTGATTTATGGGCCTCGCATACTTTCAAAAAAGTCTCCCTTTGGACTTCCTCACCCTCTGCAATCTGTTAGAAGAGGAGAATGTAACTTCAAAGGCTTGTGGTAAAAGAAGCCGATAGGACTGTTCCAGGGCTGACCCCGCTCTGCCCCGCCTCATGGCTCTGTTCCTTATGCTGCCACCCTGACTCCACACTTCACGTCTTCCAAAGTTCTTTTCCTCTATCCCTTCTCGTGGTGGCTGCCAAGATTGCCATGGAGAAGTGCACGACCCGCGCCTCTCTTCACTGCAGGACATTTGTGATGCAGCAGATTCCCAGTAGTAACCTCCTCCTTCTGGTGACAGACCCCACCTGTGACTGCAGCATCTTCCCGCCAGTCCTGCAGGAGGCAACCGAAGTCAAATATATCCTTCCAATCCTTTGGGGCGTGCCGGGTGCAGGAGGGTGGGGCTGTTGACGTCATCGAGGGGCTCACCGGCTGTCATAGCATCGTCGTTTGTTCTCCACTCCCGACCCCAGCCCTGGGTACAGCTTCCTGACACCAAAGCTGCTTGCAAGGCAGGCTCTTCTAGATCTGAGTCTCCTGGGCTGTTGACCTTAACAGTGAGTCACATAATGCCTCAGTCAAATGTGACAGGATGCGCTCCCAGAAGCTCCGCCGGCGACCAGACTCCTGCCACGCCTTTCATGCTGAGGTGCAGGGCTAAGGCAGGGTGAGGGGTGGGGTTGGAGCTTCATCCCTGAATTCTCTGTGTCCATGGCTGGAACACTGATGCACATGCATCCTGGGACAGCCCTCACTCACGTGCATTCCCGCTTACTCCTGCAATACTGTGACACGTTAAGAAATGTTTGCCTTTGTCTTAGGTTCCTGGCATGGTGCTCCTAAAACCTTGTGATTTTCTGAGTGACAGGAGTGATAGGAGCATCTTTCATTCTAGTATTTGGTCTTAGTTCCTTGTTCCTGACACAAGTGCTTCTAAGACTCTAGGAAGAATAGGAGTGTCTTTTTACATGCTAATTAGATGACTGATGGCTGGAGGCTCTTCAGGGTGGAGGCTGATCACTAAAGAGTAAGGTGTGGGGGGGGGGTTGGGACCCACCCCCTGACTGCTGGGGAAGGGAAGAGGCTGGACATTGAGTTTATCACCAATGGTCAGTGATCTCATGAATCATACCTATATACTAGGACCTCCATAAATCCCTGAGCAATGGGGCAAGGGAGAGCCCTGGGTTGATGAGAGGGTGTGGAGACTCAGCACACATTCCTTGCCTCGTGAGTCTACCCCATTTGGCCACTGCTGGGTTGCATATATTAAAGTGGTAATGGTAAGTGCTTTTCTGAGTTCCAGAAGCCATTCTAACAAATTCTAACACCTGAGGAGGGGGTCATGGGAACCCTTGATTTGCGGCCAGTCTGTCAGAAGTATTGGAGGGCCCAGAGTTGCAACTGGTATTTGCAGTGGGGCAGTCTTGTGAGCCCTTTAACTTGTGGAATCTGATAGTGGAGGTAGATAGAGTAAGAACTGAATTGTAGGACACTGAGTTAGTGTCCAGAGCTGGAGAATTGGTTGGGGTGGGGAACCCCCACCCTTTGTGGCCACAGTAACATTATGTAAACACATCAGAGACCCATGTCATTGAAATACTAAGTCAGCCAGGATCCAGGCTTGAGACTAGGTGAATTAAAATCCAGTTTTCCTACCTTACCTTCATTCCTGCTGCACTTAGCTCTGAATGACTATGCAAACAGGAAGAAGTCATGTGTGGATAAATAATAATAGTTACTGAGTACCTGAGACCAATGTGCCAGTCCCTAAGCTGGTGCTTATACACAGTAGGGCCTTTGCTGGGCTTGTCTGCCCAGAACAGTCCACATCAGTGATGCTCCTGGAATGGGGGATGTCCCTGGGGCCATTCCAAGAGGATGACCCTGTAGCTACCTCAAGCTGCCGAGGCACAGGGGGCTGGAGTCAATTCCCAGGCTGAGTGGGCAGCCTCTGCCTGCCCTGAAAGGTTGAGTGTCTAAGAAAAGTGGCAGTGTTTCCCCAACTTTCTGAAACTACCCTCACCTGGTTGGCTTTTAGCGCCTAGCGCCTCTGCTCAAGGGTGGGAAATTTTATGCACACGTAAATGCATAAATATGTATGTATTTGTGAGTGTGGACCTCTCATCTCTGCTCTGGGTTTGCAGGAGAATGCCCAGGACTGCGGTGGCGCCTCAGAGACCTCGGCCTCCCTGCCCCTGCTCCTGTTGCCTCTGTGTGCCTCGGGGCCACTGCCCCAACTTTTGCGGTGATATCCGCTCGTTCGACCTCTGTTTCAGCAACGTGATTCTTCCAGAGACATTCTAAAAAGTCAGCACTGACTCAGGGTCTTTACTACATTTGGGTTATCACCAGCCTGATATAGCTCACTATCCCAGGCTAACAGTCCCTGTCTCTGGAGATTGCTGGATGGAACAAGAAGCCACTGTTCCGGAGCCACTTCCCAAAGATGCTGCAAGGTGCCTGATGCCATCTACTCCTGTCTCCATGGGCATCCTCCATCTTTCCTGTTTCCTCCTCAGAGGTTTAGCATGAGCTCAGCTTGGACCAAGACAAAAGGTTTAAAAGGATTTAGTTCTGCCTGTACTCCAGACATCCAGCCCCAGGCTAAAAAGGGTTAGCTGCTTCTAATGAACCACAGTGGCCTTCAGTAGAACCCAAGGTCTCTGGATGCTGAGAAAGAGGAGTGAGATGAGGCTAAGGCAAGGACATATCCTGCCTAAAACATTACAACATAGCCTCCCAAAGTGAGAGAGAGCGAGCTAGATGAGTAAATAGTAATGGGAAAGACCAAGAATAGGAACAGGTATTATATAAAATCCTTTTAGGAAGCATCAACAGGGCTGCGTGTTAGTTATGTCCTCCAAGTGCTGCTGTTAAAGAACTTTACAAAGCTGTGACCTAAAGGAAAGTTTGCATCTACTAAAAAGCCAGGAGGCTGAGACTCACACCTGATGCACTGGAAAGTGATGCGCATTCACAGGTGGCAGGAATAGCTGCAGCCAAGCAGAGGTCACAGTGCAAAGAGCAGTCCCTCACAGAGCATGGTGAGGGCTTCTCCTGAGCACTAGCTCCAGACTCCCATGAAGTTGAAGTCTGGGTCCCACCGTGGTCTTTTTCTGGCCACTGATCTACAGAAGAAATGACTTGACTCTGTCCCTAGGGTAAACTCCTTGGGGTTGGAACTTCTAGGAACATTCCCATTTGCAGAGTTCACTGGGAAGGGAGCTGGAGCTGGGAACTCCCCCCACTGCTGTGCATACACACATACACATCTCCCTCAGGGACCCAAGGCCCTAGACTTCCTCCCCCTCAAATCCCCAATAGCAGTCTTGACCATGAGAGCAACATTAAGGGCAGGCAGAAATCTGGGGCATCCTCAGACCTTTCCGTTTAACCAGCTTTGATAATTGGCATGGACAATGCACAGGCCCTCGGGAGCCCCTTTTTTCCTTGCCTCCACCATCCTCAGCCTCCACACTGCTAGTGGAGGCTGTTCAAGTTTTCCACTAGGAAAATGCCCTACCTTTCCTCTAGAGTAGGCCAACTCTATAAAACACTCATTATGGTATTTGTAAAGTGCCTTCTGTCATCAATTAGGCAATGTCACTTTAACTCTGTCATTATATCTCATAACAATACTATGCCACAGGACTAAAGCCCTCTTTATAGCAGAAAAAACTGTGACTCAGATTAAGCCTGCTTCAGTGGTTGAAAAATGCCAATAGCTAAGGTTTACATGTAGGAGGCAAATAACGTATTATCCCCACCATAACCCCCTGAAGTGAATAGTCCCAACTTATAGATGATGAAACTGAAACATAAGAGTTGAAAATTGGCTCTGAAATTTTGGGAGAGAATTGTGAAGATTAAATGTGACATAATGTGCCTGAGACTGCCTGGTATAGTACTAAGCACTTAACCAATGGTACTTGCTATCATTACATTACCTTGTTTCATGGAGGTAGGGGACAAAGAAATGACAATGAGTTGTCGGGAATAATACACAAAGGTTGTAGGTGTCCAGCAGGCCAGTGGGTTAAGAAGGCAGTAGGGAGCCCTCTCTCCAGTTCCTGTGGCTCCCATCACCACAGAACTCCATAATGTGTCATGAAGACCCACTTGTGACAACACAGCCTTTTTAGGCCCAGGGCCACCCACCTACCTCTTTGACATTAATAAATGTTCTGACCTCCAATAGCACTTGATCTCAACTGCTGACCCATACACCCTAAACACTCGTCTCTCTCTAGGACAATAGTCCAGCGCTGTCTTTTGGAAAGCTTGTCCTCCCTACCCAACAGGGAAGAGCATTTTCAGGCAAATTTATCAATTCTTAAAAAGCCAAGCTTAAGAAGTACTAGGCAGCTCCTGGCCTTGTTTCGACTGCTTCATCAGGGCCCCACAGCTCTACAAGGCCAAGGGTAGACCAAAAGATCTAGAAATCTTTTTCTAGACCAATGGAAGCAAAAAACCTTTTTTTTTGCAGTTTTTGGCAGGGGCTGGGTTTGAGCCTGCCACCTCCAGCATATGAGGCTGGCCCCCTACACCTTTGAGCCACAGGTGCCGCCCAAAAAACATTTCTGATAAACCAACTCTGCTCTTTCTTTCTTGCAGAACAGAATATTCTCCTAAGCTTTGCCTTTGAAGGTCAGAACTAGTTTTCTTCTACTTTTAACAGAACCACTTTTAAAGGACAGCAGGTGGCAGCCTGGCTCACGCTAAAGAGCTATCTCCTTTATTTCAGAGAGCAAAGCAGGAAACTGTCATTTAAAAGTGGAGGAGAGAATTCTGAAATCTCTTTTCTTCTGTTATATACTTTAGGAGGCCCAAAAGTTCAAGGATGCTATCAGATCCCCCTCTTCAGTAACAGGGATAAATTTTACTAAATCCTATAGAGTGTGCTTTCAGGTAAAATGCTTCAACAGCCACTTCACAATGCTAAATTAAGTTTAGGTTCAGGGGGCAAGGGAATGAATGTATCTTAAGCAGAAAGGGAAATGTGGGGTTGAAGGTGAGTGACTTGAAAACCACTACAGGAAGGAATTAGAGCAAGGGTTTCCAAGAACCATCAGCCAAGTGCTATGGAAGTTTGAGAAAAAACTGATCTGTGAAAGTCACCGCATCTCAGAGAGGATGCAAAGGATGTATCATTGGCCCCATTTTAACAGAACGTGGAGGCTAGAGAAGCAAATGGCTTATTATTTATGTTACATGGTAAATGGCAGAACTGGGGTTAGGAGCGACCTCTTTTTGTTTCCAGGCTAGCCTGGCAAGGTAGGGATGGTAGGACAGCAGTGACAAGAGGATGCAGTAACTTTCAGCTTCTCTGCTTTCCCAGCAACTTCAGCCATGCCATCACAAGCAGCCCCAGCACACGTGAGCCAGACTGGCCTTGTTTTCACTAAGTGAAAAAGGAAATTTGCACATAGGCAGGGCATGAGTGGTGAGCAAACAGTTCATGTCCACTGAGGAAAGGGCAAACTGGAACACACTACAACTGAAGCAGAATATTCAATTTCTAGGATAATTGTAAAGCAACTTCTCTAGGGCACTCAGAGCACTAGCATTCTATAAAGACAAAACCCAAACTGCCAGGAATTTAAGGCTTCAGTGAGCCATGATCACATCACTGCATTCCAGCACAAGCAACAGGAGACCCCACCTTTAAAATAAAATAACAAAAAAACCCAAATTGCCCTATCTATTTCCTCCACAATATTCATGGGACACCACCTGAGTAACAGGCATCATAGCTTTTAATAAAAGAGTAGTGGGGGGGTGGGGGAGTGGTTTATTCATAGGCATCAGCTTATTTTTTGTCAAAAGCACAATGTGATCCTGGGTAATACATGGGGCTCCCTAAAGTTATATCTGTACTTTAAAATAAGAATTCAGAATGGACATATTTTCCCAATATTGGAATTCCCCTGCTAGAACTAAATTTACCTAAGGCAAAAGGGTCGGGATTTCCTCTTCTTAAATTACATAGAAGGGACCAGGTTAACAAACCCCAAAACCTGTAAGCCTATACACATGAGACTGTTTATTCAGAAAAATAAACTCAAGTACAGAGAGAAAGCAATTTTCTTCCTAAATTGTCTTTTCACTCTCTTCTCATAAAGAGTGCTGGTATAAACTTTCTAAGCTTTAGTTTCTTATCTATGAAACGAGGATTAAAAAACACCAACTAGCTCAGTTGTTATCATTACATGAGAGATTGACAGTTCTTTAACGTATCCCTTGACATAAAATGTTTATGTCAGATATTACTTTTGTAAACTTTAATAAGGAATTAAAAACTGCCTCTTAGAGTTACCTCTCCCCTCCAATCTAAACCCAATCCAAGTTACAATGAGAGCACAGGAAGAGCTGGGAAGAGTGAGCTGCACATAAGCACTTTGACTTGTGCTTTCAGAAAGGGAAGATTCTGAAATCTCTTAAATTTCAGTATCCAAATTAAGGCTTCAAAGAAGTGCCAAAAGGTAAGGGGAGGTAAGATGAAAAAAGCAGTAAAAAATACACAACAAAAGTTCATGTTTCATTTGGTTCTTTTTATTAGAAGAAATTGAGAATACAGCAAGTAGGGAAATCGCACAATGAATGGAACCATCACACAGATGCTTTTCTGCAACCCCAACCATTTGTTCCCCAAAACTGTGCTTTGTGGCTTCAGCAATTTATAAAGAGGAAGGGGGAAAATACTTTAAAAGGCCACTATTTAATGGTGAAATAATGAAGCTGTAGAGGTCCTAATCAGCCTAGGGCCAAAAAAGAAAATTAAAAATCCGCACAGAGCAAGCAAGCCTCTGACTGCTGAGAGTAAGGCATTCAGGCGCCAACCTGGTGAGAGTTCTCAGCGAGCACTGTTAAGATCAAGTGCACATTGAGGCTATTGGTAGTGAGTTGCACACAGACACACACATATAAATGGGCACACACATGCCCACACACACACACACTCGAAAGAGGGAGATTTTTACTGGATTACACATTGGTGATGTAATTTCATTTTTCCTAAGGGTTTGTGCTATGTTGAACCAGATTCTTCCTGCTTTGGAGTGTGGGGTGACTGGGCCCAGAGACTGCTACTTCTGGTGTTATTACAGGGTGCATCTTATACCCTGTGTCCCAAAGTGCATGACCGAAGAGCAAGTCTGGCTTCTGATATGTGCTGTTGCTCCCATGAAACTAAGTGAGTTTCCATCCAGATGGCCACTGTCCTACTGGACTATGTTTTCTCAGAGGGATT